CCACCTGAACATTTGCAGGGTTCTCAGGGGATCCTGCCACCCACAGTTTCTCAAAACCTGAGGGAGCTCTAGTTACACAGTCAGCTGCTTCAGAGTGCCAAGGGAATGGGATGCTGTGGCTTCTCAACTCCTTTCCACTCCTATTTGCTTCTTTCAGCCTAGAACCTCTATTAAAAAAAATATATATATACTAAAGTGGGGTTATTTTTATCTGGTCAGCCTATTTAGTGAACATTCTAATCTTATTATCTACAAAATTATATGGGGTTTTTGTTTGTTTACAATGCATTTATCAAAACTACTGACTGTGTTATGTGCTTTAGGTGGTCAGGACAAACCTTTTTCATATGCTTTCAGGTCTGGTGTAAGAGACAAATTCCAAAATGTAATAGTAAGCATAATAAACTGAATATTGCAATTCAACAGGGATGACACAGAATATCAGGGTTGCTAAAGCTTGCCTTGTGCATTAACATCTTCCCTGCCTTGTCCCTTGGTAGGCACACATAAACCTGACTATGGCTAACAAAATGTACAGTCTTATGACATTTCTAAAAATATGAGTTTCTCACAAGTGATTCAAACTCCAGCAACGAACTCTTAAGTACACTCAGAAACAGGTAATAGAGAAAATAATTAACTTTTTCCCATATGTATAATTAATACTATGGTTTATTTTAAGTTGTATTCATCTTTGTTTTCTTCACAGGAAGAATAGGTAAACAAGAATTGTTTACATCAAACAGCTAATATGTTTTTATTTAGGTAGAACTGTGAAAAAAACATCGTATTTTCTGGATGTATGCAAAAGAAAAGAGAATTTATGAAAAATCTACATAATATTTATCAATAACTTATTGGGGTAGAGAATCTATTTATTAAATAGGATCAGAAGCATAGTAAAGCTTTGTAGTTTAAGCGTTAAAGGTCCACATATAGAAGAAATACAACCATTTTTCTTGATGGCAAGAAGAACATTAGGAAACATAATATAGCAAGAGTTACGTTACAGTGAAACCTACAAATCACTGATAGATATTTCCTCAAAGAGAACTGTCAGTCTCTTTAAAGTAAGTATGTCATGCTCTTGTAGATGTCAGGGACATCTCACAGTATTTGTGAAATAACAGATATCTGAGCAGTTAAGTTATACATGAGAAGTGTTACCCTCCCTTAATTCAAGAGACGTAATTTCAATGTTGCAACTAAATTAATCTGTTAAAAGGCTATCTCCAGTGTATCAATTGCATATCCTCAAATTTAAATACAGTGATGTGGCTAACATTTAACACTGAAAAGAAAACAAGAGGCAGAAATAAATACCAAAGTAAGTTAATATGCTTCTCATGTCCAGTATAACACAGAGTATATTTAAACAAGATACATCATTAATTTCATAATATTCTTGTAAATTCAGCCTTTAGTGATCTGTATTTCAAAACAGGATTTGACATAACAGAAATCTCTCACACACTCTGAAATGTTAAGAATGCTTTGAATAACGGTCTGCATTTTGAAAGGTTTGGGGAAACATACTCAAAAAAGCAGAAGAATTCTCAGCTGTGTCCTTCAATAAAACGCTTAATACGTTTGGCTAAGAAGGAATAAAGGAGCAAAACTTTTCTGTTGACAAAAGGCTTTTTTGCTATCCCAATCCAAATCTTCCAAGAAAAACCATAGTTCCCTCCATGCCTCCCATCACAAACTATTCTAAAACAAGCTAAAAAGCCCCGTTGACCTAGACCTCCAGCCTAATGTTGGTATCCTCAAGTTACTGAAACTGCAGAAAAAATAATTTTTAAACAGGCAATATTAGAAATGGATAAGCTGTGGTAGCTTGAAAGAATCTGAACTACTTCTACATGTCCTCTGTAAATATTTTGTCCATTTGTGCATGTGGGAAATACCATCATCGTTTTTACTGAAAAAATGCAGAACTTAGTTGAACCAAAGAGAGTGCAAAATTTGAACTCACTCAAGTCTTCACTAAACTTCTGTAAAAACATTGAGGATATACTCAGCCTTTGAAGGGTAGAGCTAAACCTAACATGCTAAGTATCTATGATTTACACAAAACAGAAATAAAATAACAGAAAACCTGCACTTATCCAGACTGAGAGATTTTTTTTCTTTGTCAGAGATGTCAATACTAAAATGAACCACAGAAATTGCTTGGAGATGGAATAGAATTGAAATGAATAAAAGTAGTTAGTGCAGTGTTTAATGCACATAGAGAAAACCACGATCTGCAGACAGACTGACAACATGATGTTTGTTATAAATGCATCTTTGGTATGCTTCATTTACACACTGTTCAACTTTAAACTGGAATTCAGCTTTAACGACAGTAACAATCACCTATTCTCAAAGGGCATATACAGAAATATAGAACTGGGGACAATTTAAAATCAGAAGTAAAGCCAAACTAAAACATGATAAAAAGGGCCATTCTTCAACTTTACGAATATCAGATGCACCATATGGACATTAAGTAGGTGTCCCAACAATATAAGAATAGTATGAACATAAGAATGAGAACGGAACAGAGTAAATTAACTCTCAAACTTGGGATGTCATATTTCGTAAATTTTCTCCGATGCATTAACCAAAATGAACTCATCTTCTTGCCATAAAACACCATCTCAGCCTTGATTCAGGAAACAATTTCTGCTGACTTGAATATTACATTGTTCTGATAGAATATTCCTAAGTTTTCTCCCAAAATTTTCAAACAAACACTAAAAACACAGATGGTTTGATTTCTAGTAAATAATAAAATCTCAGAAACAAATCTAAAATGTTTTTCATCTTAAATCACAGGTAAGAACCTGATTTTCTTTCTAAAATTCCCATTTACAGATTTAATATTCCAGCTCAGTAAAATTAAAACATAAATTTTCCTACAGATGTCAGTATTGTAATCTAGATCTATGGACTAAAAATCAAACACTGTCTTCTTTTGGTAATATACGATCTGTGAAAATAAAAAATTCAGAACTTGAATTCAAACACATCTGATACCAAAACACAGCCCTACTTACAAACACACTGAAGTCATACATGGATCTGATTGATTTGAGTAAATTCCTGCTAAATAGTGGATTTAGCTGACCATTTTGTTGATAGTGCATTCACAGTCTAGCTTCTTGGAGCTACAATATATCCACATATCTGTGGACATGGCGATAAAGAGATTTTTGGTCTGTAACAAGAAGTATCTTCCTCAGTATAAAAAATGTATTCTGCCTTTGATCCATTAGAGGTACTCCCTGGCTAGAAGCTCCCGGGTGGTACATGTATCAAAAGCAAGATGTGGACTCAAAAAGAAGACAAGTGTAGTAAAAAGGGATATTTTAGAGTAATTTTTCAGGGCATATATTCAAAATGTAAACTTTGTGATGTGTTGTTTTTCTGTCAATTATTTCCTCTGAACATACCCATTTTTAGGATCTACTGTTCTCAGAAATAAGTCAATATAATATGTCTGTAGTTTCAGGAGTTCAGGAAGAAGTGAGGGAGCTCAAAGAGATTAAGATTAAAAGAAAATAACTGGATTAAGGGTCTCTTTTAGTTCAGAGTTCCCTGAGTCAAGGATCAGAGAAAGGCTGCCAGCATACCTAGAGAGCATATTATCAAACACGTTCTTCCTTGATGCCCTCAGACCCTGATTCCACAGTGGCAATATACACAGGAACTTTCAGCTACTGAACCATATTTCTTTTTGAAATATATAATAAAATAGTATATATGACTATGAATATTAGTGCTGAAATTCTAGAGATGCTTGATCCTTCTTCTGCACTCTGGCACTCAGAATTTGCTTGTGCATTTCTGACTTTTTTTCCCCTGAATAAAATCTGCAAGAGTCACAAGGGTTTCTTCTGCAAATCCATAGTTTGTTCATTTGTACCTCTACATAATTTCCAAACTTTAAAGCATATTAATATCATAATTTTAATAATTTTGTTAAATTATGTGTTGGAAATTACTGTTTTGGGTATGTTTTACAAAGTACAGCTACGTGACTCGCATTGAATTTATGAGACTTCTGGCAGCTAAATTTATAAGCACTCATTTGAAAAGAATAAATTATTAATTATTGGTGTGTTGTAGAAACACCAGTTATCCTATAGCAAATGATGAATGTATTTCACTAGATATTGGAAAAAATGAGCAGTGCATTAAGTAGTTTAACACAGTGGGATAAAGATTTACTTTACAAATACTTGCTCACTCCAAAACTCTAAAAAAAAAAATCATTATATCACATACTGCCCTATTCACCAATTACTTCCTATTTTCTATCCCAAGCTACCATGTAGCTATAGTTAATTTTAAGCAACCACTTAATGTTACTTCTGAAAGTTGCTTAGCATCACTAGGCACTGAGTGATGCCTCAAAACACTGGCAAAGCCCTGCTCTACAGGGGAGGGACAAATGATGACTGTTCAGAAAGAGTCTGAGAACCTATTGGTAATAAATCAGCAATATATCGTTAAGTAAGGTATGCAGGGTTATTACTTTCTTATAGCTACATCAGTCAGAGATTTAACAGTTCTACAGCTTGTTATGATGTCTCTTTCTGCACATTTTCAAGAGTAGTACTCTAACTTCTAAGCAATTTCTACCTGCCTTTCGAGTACTAGTGTGTTAATAAAAAGACAAAAACACTGTAGCACAATCCTATTACAACTATTATAATGAACCAGTATTTGTGCTTTTGATGTTGAGTCTTTGAACTTTTTTGCTTTGAAATTTAGTTATAAAACATACAAGTCTACCACAGAGAACACAGATTATCCAGAGGGAACAATACCAAAAGGGATTTTTGGAGGGGAAAAAAATAATAAGAAAGAAGGTAAATATTTTCCCTTGTCTGTTAATGTCTTACCAAAAATGCCAAGTCCTGTGAGTCTAGGTTGTAATTATTTTAAGCTAAACACAAACAAAACAAAATATCAATACTTAAGTGTAAATTTAATACAATCCATCGTCATACCTTATTATGCGTCTGAGTTTGTCCAACCAGGATAAGGATATTTGATGAGATAATAGACAGGCAGAAATTGATTAGAATTATTGACCTCTCAGACCTGATGTACCTGTTCAAATAAACAAAGAGAGAGTACAACTTTTCTAAAAGGAAAACAACTAGTAAGTCATAGAAAGCTTTGATGCATGTCTTGCATTATATTTTGAAATACTCTGAAAGGTATGCACTTTCAAGTGCTCAGAAGAGTATCAGGAAGCTATCACATTGTAAACACAGAAACTATGATATTTTGGTAGATATTCTGCAATTCCCTCTTAGTATATTGGAATATTTTACAAATAATCTATTAATGATTATTTTTAAAACTGCTGGCAACACTCCTCTAACACCATACTGATAATAACTGGCTTGCATGCATTCATGTCAGGAATTTCTTAGACTCTCAGCTCATCCCTGGGAATATCCACAGATGGCATAGACCACTCACAATAACTAACTTCAGCAAAAATATGGTGATTTACATAAACAGAAGATCTGGTTCATGATGCATAAATGAGATATAGGTTGGTTGATGACACTATGGTAGTGCATTTTGAAACACTTTATTGGGATAACAATAACATTAATCTTGAAGTTCTACCACATTTACAAAATAATTTGTGTGAAGAAACAAGAATTCTGTAATATCTTAATCTTCATAAAACCTAATGCCAAAAGTAGCTAAGTCTGTACGGAAAGATTAAATCATAGCAATGAGCATCACACCGTCTCTCTTGCAAACTTATCACACTCATTTTACAAGTATGTTTAGGATGGAATAGTCAAATACTCTTATCACCTATTTCCTCAAAAGATGCAAATAATGTCATTTTTTTATATAAGCTATAGGATGGAAAGAGAATGATTATGGTTTCAAGTGAAGTATCTTACTGACCTGATTTTCAGAGCTGCTAACAGAATAAATGTTGACTACTAAAGTAAATGAAAGTTAAGAGTGCTCAGTTCCTCTGAAGACCATGCCATATGTTTATATATTCTATGGTCTATACTATATGCTTCTCACTGGAGCTTAGTTAATACTGCTGTCTCCTGCTGAGCTCTACACCCATAGCTGATACTCTGAGGAGGTCATAACAAAGGGTACTGATCCCATGAGAAATGCTGAGCTTTGGACATGGACTGAATTGTAGTCCTTTTTGCTCAGCTATCAATAAAGTAATACAGTGTTACATTTTTTAGTTAAGAATACAAAACAACCTTGATACCACAATCCACATTATTAATTAAAATATAACAATGTTGTAAAGGTTAGCTCTGTATGTTTGCAAATAAATACAGTCTAGTGCCTTTGTCTACAGAGTCAAGCATGCTGCTACTTTTAACTTGTTAACTACTGATTCATTTGGGCCAGTTCCCAACAATGAATATCTATGGATTATAAAAGATCTTAATGGTTGAGTAAATACAGGGAAAGCAGAAGCTCATAGCATTGACTTAAGCTAGGAAGGTTTTAGCTTTTCTGCCAGCTCACTATTGATGATGGGAAGGGAAGGGAAGGGAAGGGAAGGGAAGGGAAGGGAAGGGAAGGGAAGGGAAGGGAAGGGAAGGGAAGGGAAGGGAAGGGAAGGGAAGGGAAGGGAAGGGAAGGGAAGGGAAGGGAAGGGAAGGGAAGGGAAGGGAAGGGAAGGGAAGGGAAGGGAAGGGAAGGGAAGGGAAGGGAAGGGAAGGGAAGGGAAGGGAAGGGAAGGGAAGGGAAGGGAAGGGAAGGGAAGGGAAGGGAAGGGAAGGGAAGGGAAGGGAAGGGAAGGGAAGGGAAGGGAAGGGAAGGGAAGGGAAGGGAAGGGAAGGGAAGGGTGAATATTTGACTGACATCAGATTTATTTTTCAGTTTGAATTTTCAGTTGGGTGGATCAAATCAATCAACCATAAAAGAATGCTCACACAGCCCTTCTTTGCACCAGAATACCTCTACCTCATATCACTTCTAATCAGGCCCTACCATTCAAAGGGAAGGTGGGTGTTCCAAAATGTAAATACAGACATAGGGTCAAATATCAAATTTATCCCTACCCCTAGAAATATAAAAACAGGCTTATATATATATATATATATATATATATATATATATATATATATATATATATATATATATATATATATATATTAAAGTTTCAGTGTCTATCTTCTCCCTATAGTTGGTTACTATGTGCTCTCAAGAAACACGTTGAAGGCAAATATTAATGATTCAAATGACAGGCCACTCAGTTGTCATAATACTTTCAAAATATCTCACTGATAGAACACCAAGATTTATATGAGCTATCTTTTCTTCAGCTGGATGCAGGACCCACACTAGGTCCATAACACATCCCATATATTTTTTTAATCCACTTAGAAGTTACTATAACCATAGAATCGTAGACTAGTTTCAGTTGGAAGAGACCTTTAAAGATCATCTAGTTCCAACCCCCCTGCCCTGGGCAGGGACACCTTCCACCAGCCCAGGTTGCTCAAAGCCCCGTCCAACCTGGCCTTGAACCCTTACAGGGAGGGGGCAGCCACAGCTTCTCTGGGCAACCTGTGCCAGTATCTCACCACCCTCATCATAAAAAAATTCTTCTTTATGTCGTAAAAAATTTCTTCTTTATATCTAATTTAAATAATGGAGAAGACCAGTTCCACTGAGCATGACAGTATTTCCATCCAAGTGCTAAATATATCAGGGAGTGCAAAAATAACACTATAATTCTTCAGATGGGAATTATATCCTGAAATACTCTCATTCTTAGTTTTGACAGACAAGAACTGATAATTTTTATGCTCTTTTTGTTATAACTTATGTAACTAGATATTCTATATTTATTATATATATGTCTAATCCTGTGAGTCTCTGGCTATATAAGAGAGTGAAAGAGAAAAGGGTGTAAAATTACCAAGCTGTTTCTAAAACCAAAATTCTATTGGTTGATTTTACTTTACTCTAAAAATTGTTATTTTCTCCCCGTGTTTCTTCTTCCATGCATAAGTACCTATATTTTTTTTTAATTATGGAAAACAGTTAAATGAGAACCCATGTTCCCTTTTTAAAAAAATATTTATTACTTCACATGACTTTTCTTCTTTACTATTTCTTCTACACTAAGATATCATGCTATTTTTTATCACTTCTCAAATTAATTTACTCCATAAATATGTATCACACTTTTAAGTCAATATAATATTTTAATATAGTAAACTCAGGATGGAAAGGAAGTCTATTACTGGAATGTACCGTCACACTATTTGAGACTACTTAATTCTGCGGTCTTCATTGAAACTTATAACCAAAGTGGATAAACCCCAAACCAGTTAATTGAACCTCTCTAAATCTGCAATATCTGATGTGGCATTTGATATGTCATTTTTATCACACTGAAATTTTGTTTTCAAATGTAAATGGAGGAAAAGCAGTCAAAGGTATAGGCCGGAAACCTCACACAAGAAATATATCATATAGAAGAATCCTGTAAAATGTTAATTAGCACCATGAATACCCCACTGAAAGAGCAATACCATTCACACTGAAGAGGGGAAAGAGTGGGCTATACCATCACCAGTAGGCCAGGAGAGTAAAACTAATCAAACACATCAACAAATTTAGGTGTCAAAACGTGCACTACATTTGGCTATTTTTTTTCTTTTTCAAATAATAAATGTTGCATCTCTTTAAATTTTAATTCAACTAAATATAACTATGTATTCACATTCAGCTTTGTCAAACCATTACATACCTCCATAGCGCTGCATAGACAACTGCTAGGGTGATCAAGGCCAAGCATGAAAGACCACTGCCTACTATTAAGGTCACTGAGGGTGTACCAGATGATTCCATGATCTGTAGGTTACAACAGACAACCATGAAGAAAACCCATCCTCCAGCAATTTAAACAACAATTCAAAACAAAAAAAGCAATAAAAGCAAAATGATAAAAGCAGCCATGCTGTCATAGATAGCTTCAATAATATCACTTATGAAGCAGAAATGAACTTAATTCCAAAATTGATCCATACATAACTCTGAGATCTGTTTAATTATTGATACATTCCTCAGAGGCCTTTGAACTTTAAAATGCCTTATAATAGCTGCATGATATTTCAAAAAATAAAGAAAGTAGTAATATTACAATGTAATAGGAGACTATGATGTTAGCACAAGTTTAAACTACTGCTCAGTTAAAATTAATTAGAAGATACATTTCTCTTGAGAAACAGCAATATTTAGAATTGTGTATTAAACAAATAGGTTAGTTTCACTGTAATATATTCGAGAACATCCAGTAATTTGTCTCAGAATTTGATTCATGCTTGTTGCAGAATTACCAAACTTTCTGACTTTTAATAACTTTGACTTCAATCTGCTATTCTCACACACTTAATTTCCTTGGGCCTCTGACTGTCTAGAAGGAATAGCAAGATATCTATGGCAACAGTATCATAAGCCTTCTGTAAAGAAGCTGCAAATTTAGAATTATTTAATTTGTACTCTGTGTATTAATAAAAAATACAATAAATAAATGACCTTGAAAATAAAGTAGGTTTCCCTGCTGTAAAAGAAACTATTATCATCAGATATCAGGTAAGTTTTTTCCTCTGTGTGTATATGTGCTCATGTTCTGAAATAGACATGGTATTTGCTAATACAAATGGAAAAAAAAAAATTAGATTTAAAAGTTTGAAAGGATACCATGCGAAAATCCTTTTTAAAGCCTCAGGGATGTATTGTAAATTACATTCATCAAGATATCTTTTGTCACCCAAATAGGAGATAAGACTAATGTACTTTTAGGCCAAATTTCAGGCAGAAAGTAACATTTTATTTCAACCACTTTGTTCCAAACTGATCTACTTTGTTATTAAAAAGAGTCTGATCATACACCTTCAAAACCAGGAAAATGAAATTATGCCTTAGCAGGATAACTTCACAAATATTTGCTTTTTAGCTATTTTTACATTCCATAATACTGGGAGTGTCTGCTTATACACTTAACGTCCCCTCTTTCTCATGAAAACTTGATTTTTTTTCTTACATCATATCAACACACTACACAGGAAATCTGTGCTGAAAATGTCCAATGCAGATCTGCAATCTGTTTAACTACAGTATCTAGGGTTTTCCTACCAAGAGCAATAATAAAGCCCTGTACCTTCCCCTGGAAAGGCTTGCAACCTTTTAAAAGCTTGTTAAGTTCATAATTGTTCAATACAAAAGTTTTCAACACATTTGCATCACAATTAGAAGGCTTTCCCTGAAAAAAATCAGAGTTCAGGAACATGCAAATTTCACTAGGATTTAGTTGTATCACAGAATCTGGAATTCATCTCTCTGAGACACTGTAGACACCAGGAGACTAACATTTGCCTACCTGCAATATTAAACAATTCCTCAATGCAACGTCTGAAATATACCTGAGAGGAAAGCTCGACCAGCTCCCCCCCCGCCCCCCTGCACCCCCCCCCGCCATTGCCTTTTGCATTAAAACTGGATTTTTTCCCCCCCCCTTTGTTACTTACTATTTCTCTAGGTTGCTGAGCCAAAATGGCGAAGGTAGAGAGACGATCACATAAGCATTTCGTATGGGATGCATCGGTAAGCACAGTTTTACATCCCTGGGTGGACCAGGTTCCCAAAGAGTCGTTCCTGCAAAGGAGAGAGAGGGGGGAGTGGGGGGGGAGATCGGGATAATTACGCCTGACGGCCGATTCCGTGAGGAGACAATGCAGTTTAACCGCGACGAGAGTGTAGTGTAGTTCCCGGACAGCGGAGAGGTACTTGTGCCGGGGCAGGACCGGCCCCGCGGCGCAGCGCGGCCGGGCGCGGAGCGGGGCGCGGAGCGGAGCGCGGCGCGGCGAGGAGCGGAGCTGTCCGGCGCGGCGGTGCTGACAGCCCGGCGCGCTGCGCTGCGCGGAGCCCCGCCAGCCGCGGCAGCAGCCGCCCCCTGCGCTGCCAGCCACCTCCGAGCCTCACCAGAGCACTGCGAAAAACTCATCGGGGGAAGAGGGGGAGGCTTTCTCTCTCTCTCTCTCTCTCTTTTTTTTTCCCCTCTTCCTACCGGCTGTTTCTGGCCCTTTTGTAAAAAATGTGATGGTCGCGGTAGTTGTAGTGTATTTTTTTTTTTTTTTTTTTTTTCCCACTCCTGTGTGTGTGGCTAGTTTAAAGGCAGATGGTTCTCAAACGTCTGTCTGGGTTATGCCAGTTGGACTGGGAGATGCTGGATCTTCTGTTCTAAAGGCTATTTTTGCTGAGGATTTTTGTTTTTTTGGTTGTTGCTTTTAGTGATCTGCCTTAGAAATTTCACCCTGGAAACGGCAGCATCAGATGCCTCCAACTCTTGCCTTAGCTCCAGCAGAGGGGTGGATTTCAGTACAGCAGCACACAACATCACCAAAGAGACACACGAGTTCGCCCTCCAGACATCACTCAGTCAACTCGCCTTTCCCTAGCTCCCTCCCCCTTCTCTATTTCTTTTTCTTGGGGTGGTAGCACCACGCTAACCCCAAGCCAAAGCGATCATGTGCTGGCACCTTTCACCAACCACCCCTAAACAAAACAAGATGATTAACACAGGCCCCGAATTCAATTAGACATTCAATATGCTAATGCAAGGTCTGAAACCCACCCCAGCAGAACAATAAAAATGGTATCAACCCACGTTTTCTTTGTGCGGGCAAGGAGAGGGAGAGACAAAAAATCATCCCTCCTTTTTCCTGAACCACAGTGGGGGGAAAATCATTTCTACAGGAAAAAGGGGTTGGTTTCAACTAAAGCAAACCTATTATCTTTACATATGTTATGTTTAGAGAACAACAACTGGGTTTCTTTCTTATTTTTCCCCTCCTTTCATGTCCAGGGAACAACTGTAGCGACTCAGCTGCCAGCAGCAGCATGTGCACTGTCAATTCCTGCCCATTTCACCTCAGGTCACTAAATGACTTGAAAAAAGAAAAACAAGGAGTGGGAATAATAATTTCCAGTCCCTGTGATCACCGTTCTTACACCCCTTCTGCCTTGACAGCCCACCTTTGTGAGTGATTCTACACACCGGGGCCCTCATGCAAAGGCAGTTTGTTATCCTAAGCCTGCTCTCAGAGTGCAGTTCACCCCAGCCCACCTCGGCATTTTGCGCCTCTAGGTTTTGAACACACACCAGATGTAACCCTTACACACTATTGTCTTTGGAACAGCATCCTGTAATAAACAAAACAAACAGCAACTGAGGGAAACAATTGAGAGAAAATCACCAATTTTTCAAGCCACTAAAGCTGTCTATTAGCTTTCCTTCACAAATTGTGTCTTTCAGAGAGCCACAGGCTAAATCAACATCCACTTTGAAATAGTTACATATTCTAAATTCTGAAACATTATCTCCTGGATAACTTAACCAATTTATTTTATTAGCTTTCCTGTCTCTTATCTTATTGTGACACATAGTTAAGGCCAAATGAAATGCATTTATCTGTGCTGATTAAATATTAAAGAATGATAGCTTAAGAGAAATTGACATGTTTTAAAACAAAAGGATGGTATTATTAATCCCAAGAATAAGATTTAATATATTGAATATATTGAATTCACCCTGCGCTGAAAAGCTCTGGATGCACAATACATACAGCTAGCACTAAATCCTTGCAGATGGTGTCCAATGCAGAGTTAGACAAGGTTTAATTATAAAAGGTAGACAACCACAGAGACCAGTTTAATTTAAAACAAAACATCTGTTACAATTATAATTATATTTAAATTAGTGTAAATCATGGGCACTCCACCAGGTTTAGAAAGGCTCATTCTGTTCTTCAAGTCACTTGCGCAAATACAAAATTCCAGTCATACGTTAGCTGAGCAGTTCACTGTTGAACTATATCACCAGGTATTACAAACATACTACATATTTTTCAAAACTTCTTGTACACTACTGAAAATTTTAGTGGAATTTCCAAAAGCACTCTGAAGTGAAGGAAGTGCTCTCATGGAATTTAAAAATAAGGCATCCATTGACACAGCAGGAGCAGAGTCAGTCTAATATGGGCACTTTTTACATTTCATTGTTCATTTTTTCAGTGATACACTTCAATTTCTTGCCTAGCAGCATTATATTTGAATATGTGACAGATGAAAATTCAGTGATTAAATATGATCTATCTCCCTTTTCTAACCAATGCAGTTAAAAAAAAAAAAATCCTTATTAATAAATATATTTGTAGCCTGTTGAAATGATGGCTGACAGAAGGTGTGTAGTATGTTGTACTAAGTCCATGAAGGAGATGAAATAATAAGCAGAATCCAGAAGAAAAGTGTAACTGCGATTTGTTGCACGATGCTCATGCCTGCAGAACAGTAAATGTATGATTACTAACTCACTGAGAGATGCTGGTCATTTTGACTTGCTGACATAAAATCACTATTTGGTTTTAGGTATATATAAATAAGGAATGGAAATATGGGGTTAAAACAGATGTATTATATTTAGTACATCTCAGTGCTACACTTTTTATGAAGTCTTCCCTCTATGATCTGTCCCTCATAATTCAACACTAGTGGGATACTTAGAATCTATCTCTTTTTTGTAAGTTTCATTCCTTTTTGGTGTGATTGTCTTTGTCTATGTGTCTAACATTTAGGGTTATCATATGAATATGCAAAAGGGCACCTATTATTCCTGTGGATCTTTCTTGTTATGCAGAAAGCTGTAAAGGAGTGACAGGTACTATTAACACGTGTTCTATTTTTATCAAGGAAAATTATCAAACTGAAAATACATAGCAAATATAGATGTAGGTTCATGCCCATTATTGGCAATTTTGTACTGTTCCACTGAGCTACAGATGATTTAATCAGCCTGGCAGAATTCCCATGATATAAGCAAAGGAATTCCCAAGAAGCATATATTCACCATTGCAGATCCTGTGTCATCCTGCAGCTGAGACAGGGGAAAAAGCAGAGAAAGCAGGGAAGTAGGGGGAAAAGCCTAAGTAGGATGCAATTTGGGCCTATGGATCTATGGCTAACATGTCATAAGCACCAAAAAAACCTCAGCTCCAACATTTACCTGTGAGTCTGTCCTTCTCAGAGTAGTCGTACAGTTAGAGGAATGCTGGAGTGTCTTTTCAAAGCCCTTCCAGAGTTTAATGTAAACTTCCAGTTCTAATCAAAATTGGGAACATACTGTGCAATAAAAATGATGGCCAAATGATGCACAGAGAATTATTTTGATCGCGTATGATATAGAAGAAATAATGTGATTTTTAGTCTTTAATAATGCATAATGCAATATTGCATGATATATAAGTGATGCTCACTACAGAAAACAATTATATGACTGTCTCAGATATTGAAATGGAAATGTACTTTACAGGATAGGAGCATTTCTGTAGAATCAAAAATTCATTCAGACACAACTGCCAATCTGACATGGACTAATTATCAAGCCACATTTGATATGCTAGCAACTATGTTTCCGTTATTTTGCAGTATTTTTCTTGGTCTCATGACACTGTTTGCCACTTACTATTGATATGTTTTGTTAAAATTACTAATATACATGTCTTAATAATTGCAATATTTTTGCCTATTTTAACATATTGATGAATAAAATTCAGCTATGAGGTTGTGAAAACCACTCACTTACTAAAGGACTTCACCTCATATCATACACTGTCTACATTGTTAGTTTATTTTGAAGAATTTTTTTTCAAATTAAAGTTATTTTTTGGAGGGAGATGTTGTGAGACAGAGAAAGAGGAAGTTAACAGTACTGTTAACTTTTTTTTTTTTCCATACTGGCATCTAGTGATCCAAGTAGTTGCCTGATCATCATGAACAAAGAGTTAACATCTGGGCTGTACATATATGATGGTAGTTTACTTCAGTAATTTCTTTGATGATTGGCATCTGTGCTTAAAGTAGGATGAGAAATCTTTTCGGCCATTAATTCACATTACTTGAATAACAGCAAGAAGCTTTTTAGAAAGCAAACTGTACAAAAGTTAAGAAATTATAATATTATTTCTCCTGAGGTAATTGTAATTCTACCTACTTCCTGGGTATGTATTATATTTTTTTGTTTTTGTTGTTCAACTAGGTGCTGTTTTTCCTTTAGGACAGACTTTGGTATTCCAACTCTATTCTCAGTAAAGAATGACATATAATGATGAGAAGCACAGGGAAAATGCAGACTTAAGAATTTTTTAGCCTAGAAAAAGATAGGAAAGAAGCTTATGGCCTTTATGAGTAGCAGATTATGTACATCATTGTGCCTGTTCAGATGTGCTGGCTGGCACATTAGTGAAGATAAAGTCCTTCCAACACCTGCTTATTTCTTTACACCTGGACCTAAAATCCCAGGGAAGCTATAGGGAAGGCTCAACTGCAGGAGTCTCCTTTCAGTTGTGCATGTCCATATGTCTGAGACATGACCTAACTCTTAGTAGGCATAATTTCTGCTGTGATCAATCTTATTCCTACCAGTAGTACATGGCAACATCTGGTTTATCTCCTCAGTTTTTCCTAAAGTTAAAAAAAATGAAAGAAAAAAAGAAGAAAAAAAACCTCACAGAGAAAAGGTGGATGCAAACACACTTTGCTTAATAATGTCACACATAAAAATGTCGTATAACAAAGCATTGTTTACCCTGAAATTGGCA